AGTCGTCGGGACTTTGAGATGCGAAGTATTCTGCCCAAAATCACACATTTTTTCTTATCCTCCCTTCTAACAATACCAGTAGGCCAGGTTTGCTCGTCTGTATGGGCTGTCAACACAATGCTACTACCCCTCGAGTAGGAGGGGTCACTTTGTCGCGTTAGCCTTGCATGACCCTTTGAGGCCGTGTCGGCTCAGCCTTCCAGAGACACTGTTGTTGCCCCAATATGCAGGTCAATTGTGAAGTTGTTGGCTTAACTGGGTACACACACACACACACACACACTTTGCGGTGGCAGTGGATACAGAACTATTATCGTTCTCGTACGAACAAATGATGGGGATGAGGCCGTGAACAGGTCGTCTCGAGTGGTTGCTGGCCTGACTCCCACATGTGGGCAGAAACGATTGAAGGTGGGGCCAAGACCCAAATCACCACGGCCACCGCGACCGGTCAACTGGCAAACTTCGCAGACAGTTGGGCAGGGTGAGAAAAAATCGCGATTTCTACTGAGACAACGCCAAGTCCCACATGGACGGCTGGGCATCGAGAAAATGTGGCCGGACGGAGAGCCTCTGGGATGAGTTGAGAAGACGAGACGAGGGCAGGGAGCGGGGAGCGAGGAGCGCAGTCCCGGATACAGGGCTGGGTTGCTGGGCGGGGCGACGGCCCACTCAAGCGGCCCTCGAGGCGTGTCACTCAGACCCTCGGCACCCGTTCGCCGGTTTCGCATTTGCCCGAATGAGCCCGGCAACTGAGACAAGAGGAGCAGACGGCCGTGAACACGGCGCTGGGTGCATCGGTCGACTGGGCCCAGCCGACGCCGACATGATCTCGCGGAGTGCGTCACATGTGCTTGATGACCCGAGACGTGGGGTTCGGTTGGCTCGTGCCGGATACCACCTCGGGCGGAGCACGACTAGGCCATGTAATGACCCAAGGCAACACTACAACAGTCGTGTGGACACATCCAGTCGCAGTGTCATGGCAACTAGGACAATGGAGTTATGTTTGCTACATCATTTGGCAGTCCAGTTGCTGAGCCGACTTCGAGGGGTCCAAAGTCAAAAGGTCAATTGGACTATCCCATCGGATAACGGGCCTCCGCAACACTCTGCGTGACAACTCGACTGAATGCATGTACCGAGACTGACGTTGCCTGAGGTCTGTTCGAGGCCTCAAAAATCATGCGGAATGAACTCGAAAACCCGCTTTTCATGTAGATTTAAGGGCGTTCTCCGATAAATCAGTTCGATTTCAAACGGCAGCCATGTCACGGCACAATGTTGAATGAACTGATATAAATTTCGAAAATGCCACGTCACTAATACTGGAATTAATTGAACCAATGATATGAGAAAACCTCACGATGCCATTCAATTCAGCAGTTTCGACCTCTCATGGGTCTAGGGTGAATAAGTAGTTTTGCAAGAATCAATGATAATCTACAGGTATACTCATATTTAAATTAAGTAGGGGCGTAGATTAAAATGGAAAATAAGTATTAAAATGTTCCCAAAATGCTATAAGTAGACTTCACGATGCTATTCAATTCCACTTCCAGAAGGCATTCCCGTCCAGGCAGCTTCAACCTATCCTAAGTCTACGGTGAGTGAGTTCTTATTCCAAAAAATATACATTTTTGCTACAAATAATGCTATATGAGAAAGACCTGGCTTGTCTTTTGGCATTTTTGGCTGTTTGGCTGAGTGGTGGTACCCTATCGCCACTATGCGCATGGCCTAGATTAGAACCCCGTCGGGGATCCTGTTGAGTTCTAAACGGCAGTCTAGTCTGGATGAGAAAGCATTTTTGGAGGCAAAGTTAAGTGAAATTCACTGGTATTGACGCCTACTCATTTCATTATGGGAAAGGTTCCACTAATACGCGTTAAGCCAAGTTAAACATTATAGGTTGACTAAGTTCTCACAGAAAGATGTCATGATAACAGAAGCAGAAGATCACAATTTGTCAGTCGAGGTGACGAAACGCCGGAGATGCAAAATTGCGTGACTTTGAGTCTGGTTGCATTCTTCTTCAGTTGACCTCGCATTCGCTACTTGGTCTGGGGTGAAGGAGAGTCCTTATGGCGCGTCCTCTGTCATATTTTTCGGGATGCCTTCCAGCATCGGACCGTTTACTTGGTGCATTTACATTCTATTTCATGAAAGTGACAAGTGAGGACAGATCTTTTGGCCAAAATTCTGTCTGGAAGGAGGTACCAGAATGCTCGAGCAGAATTTGTCAGTTTGATGAGTTGCATCTTGATGTTGAGGCTGAAGCCTCTCACTGACGATGTTGACTACGCTAACGGAAAAACGTCAACGGTCGATGCTGTAAATCTTAGTGAATACTAAAGCAGAGGATACAGGACTAGGTACGATCCACAAGGCATTCCTGTGGTCCCGTCCTAGCCGCGAAAACGAGGTCAAGCCAAGGATAACCAAAGCACTATTGAAGTTATGAAGACCAAGATGTTGTGGCCTCTGGTATGGTCGCAGTCTCCTTTCCATTTATAGAAGTGGGTTGACCTAGTTGTCGCAACTTGGTCTTGTTGTCAGGGCGACTTAGTAGGACGCACCTAGGAGATTGGAGGAAGGTAGAGTTAGTGATAACTTTGCCTACTGCCTAAGCAAACTCGGGGAAAATGAGAATAGAGCAAGTTGTTTGACCTTGTTTTCGCAACATGGTCATATTGATAGGAAGACTCATTGGAACGTACCTAGTCCGAGGTTCATTGTCTGCATGATCATTTCTAAAGTTGAACAGTGGACGTGGTACATTCCCAAACGTTTCGCCGGCATCGTAGTCGGCATCGTGAGTGAGTATCGCCATTATTAGACCACACAACAACTCATCAGAGACAAGTTATGCCCAATTTTAGAGAGAAAGTTGACCCATTATCCAGATCGGGTTGCTACAAGATAATGTGTTCATGTAGTTGCTTTTATGTTGGAGGATTGACTTCACTTGTA